TGTTGTATGCGAAGGTCACGTACGGAAGGATGGCATCCAACATCTTGTGTTCGACATCGACGTATATGGCCAGCATGTCGGCGATGGTCTCGTTTAGGCGCTCGGTGAGGCCATTCGTGTGTGGGTGGTACGCTGTCGTATGGCGGTGGCTTGTCTGGCTGTATGCCAAAATTGCCTAGACTAGCTCTACCGTAAGTGCCGTACCTCCGTCGGTGATGAGGACCTCCGGAGCAAGCACCATGACGTAGGACGATAATTTCGACGAAGAACTTAGCTACCTCGGATGCACTGCCTTCGGGCAGGACATTCACCTCGGCGTAGCGGGTGAGGTAGTCGGTAGCTACCACAATCCATTTGTTTACGAAAGCCGACGTTGGGAATGGCCCCAGTAGGTCCATGCCAATCTGCTTGAGTGGTCGGCGAGGTGGTTCAATGGGCTGCGAAAATCCCGCTGGCCTTGTCGGTAGTGTCTTGCGTCGCTGCCAGTCGCGACATCTCCTCACATAACGCGTGACGTCGGCGGTAAGATGTGGCCAGCAGTATCTTTCTTGTATCCTCGCGAGCATGCGGGAAACACCAAAGTGCCCTGCCATCGGATCGTCGTGCAGGGCCTGCAAAAGTTCTGGTCACAGTGCTGAAGGCATCACAAGAAGGTACTTGGCTCGAAGCGGTGACAAGTTTTTCTTTTGGAGCAGACCGTTTCGCAGGAAGAACGACGCAAGTGCGCGCTTGAATACCTTCTGAACTTGGAAGTCCTGTCTTTGAGGTACTCTATTAGAACCCTAGGTTCCAGGTCGGCCCGTCTAGTTCAGCAAAGTCGTCAGCAGTTAGTGTTCTCAAAAGTAGTCATCTTCCTGGTCGTCAGGCGATGGTTGGTCGACAGGAGCACGAGAGAGACAGTCGGCATCGGAGTATTTCTTGCCTGACTTGTAAACAACGGTAATGTATTCTTGAAGCCTCACGCTCCATCGTGCGAGGCGACCTGAAGTGTCCTTCAAGGATGCTAGCCCACACAAGACGTGGTGGTCGCTCACAACTTTGAAGGGCCTGCCTTAGAGGTAGGGGCGAAATTTTGACGTAGCCCAGATGATGGTCAGGCACTCCTTTTCTGCTGTAGAATAATTGACTTCTGCTTTGTATAGCGATCGGCTGACGTAACTAATAACCCTTTCCAGTCCGTCAGCTCTTTGCACAAGAATGGCGCTGAGACGTACGCTGCTTGCGCCTGTGTGTTTTTCTGTCTCGGCGAATTCGTCGAAATGGGCAATTAGCGGAGGCGTCTGGAGGTGATGTTTTAGCTCCTGGAAAGCGTGTTCCTGCGGCGTTCCCCACTTGAACTCCACGTCTGCCCTGGTAAGGTTAGTAAGTGGATCGGTGATGTGGGGAAGTTTCTGACGAACCGCCTATAATATGCGCACAGGCGCAGAAATTGGCGCACTGCTTTTTTGTCACTGAGCCGCGGGAAGTCGGCGATGGCAGCTGTTTTCCGCTGATCGGGACAGACTCCAAACTTGCTAATCACGTGCCCCAGTCAGAAGAGCTCCTCGTACGCAAATCTGCACTTTTCTGGCTTCAGGGCGAGTCCGGACGTCTTGATAGCTTGAAGTACAGCTTCAGGGCGTGGAAGATGCTCACCGAAACTCGAGGAAAACATGAGGACGTCGTCCAAGTACATAAGGCAAGTCTGCCACTTCAATCCTGCCAGTATTGTATCCATAATGCGTTGAGTAGTGGCAGGTGCTTAGCAAAGACCGAAGGGCATCACTTTAAACTCGAAGAGGCCGTCCGGTGTTATAAACGCTATCTTCTCTCGGTCTCTTTCGTCGACTTCGATTTGCCAAAAGCCAGTCTTTAGGTTCATTGACGAAAAGTATTTGGCGTTATGGAGCTGATCCAGTGCGTCGGGTATGCGTGGGAGAGGATACACATCTTTTTTGTGATTTTGTTCAGGTGGCGATAATCGACGCATAAACGTAGGGTTCAATCCTTTTTCTTCACTAACACCACGGTGGATGTCCATGGACTCTTGAACGGCTGGATGATGTCATCCCGTAGCATTTCATCAACTTGTGTCTTTACGGCATCGGGTTCTCACGTCAAAATCTTGTACGGAGCCTGACGGAGAGTGTGGCATTTTCCTCCGTTATGATGCGATGTTTCGTGATTGGCATCTGCCGAATTTTTTACGACGACGGAAAGCAATCTTCGTATTTCATGAGCAGGCTCTTGAGCTGTTCCTGCTTATGGTTCGTAAGGCTGGGATTGACGTCGAAAGCTGAGGGAGGGGCTTGGTTTCTCTGAGCAGGTTCCGCACAATCGGCGATGGCGAAATCACTGGCGGCTTCCACGATTGCTTCGATGCATGTGACCGTCGTTCCTTTGTTCACGTGTTTGTATTCATTGCTGAAATTCGTGAACATAACCGTTGCTTTTCCTCCCCACAGCTTTGTGATTCGTCTTGCGGCCCAAATATTGCGGGTGACCAACAGATGCTGATTGCCTTCAACGACGCCTTCCACGTCAGGTGACCTCAGAGCGCCGACTGAAATAAGGACGCTGGAGGGAGGCGGAATGGCGACTTGTTCTTACAGCACATTCAAGGCGTGGTTCCCTGACGGCGGCGGTAGTGCTTCATCTGTAGATGCCGTTAATGGTGACTCTCACTGTGCAGATTTCTGCTGGTGTTACGACATAACCTCCAGCTGTGCGGATTTCGGGGCCTTCGCAAGCTGTCCTAACTTTCATCAACTTCGTGGCGAACGTCCCACTAATGACGGATTATTCGGCTCCAATTGACGAGAGCGGTTACACTGTGGCCGTCGACAAGAACGTCGAGGTCGCTTGTTCGCTGTCTCGCGTTGCAGTTAGGCCATGGCGTCGGGTGACGGCTTTGTCGGCTTGTTCCGCTGCCTCTATGTTGCGTCGTCAGGTCACCTTCGGTAAGTGAGGTTGCATCGTCAGGACTTTGCCTGGTTGGCGTGGTGTTCGAAACGCTCCGTCGTGGCGTCGTCGTTGTCGTCGTCGAAGCGTCTTCGGTAGTTCGTCGGACAGCAACCGCACCTCCATCGGTTGCGGCCCTTAGTTTCCCGGATACGCGCAAGGAAACCGGGCTCGCGTTGGGCCAGAGTACTGCTGGTGGTGCAGTGACATGCGGCGGCTGGATGACGGCGAACGGGAAGAAGTTCGTGGTGTCCACTGAGTTCCTGTCAGGTAGTCGGTGATGTCACGTGGCCGTTCCTCTGGTGGCGGATGTGGTGTATTGACGGCGAAGCCACGCAGTCTTACTTGTTGGTACTGGCAACGACGGTACGTGTGCCCAGCCTTGCCGCACAGGTAGCAGAGCGGGCGGTTGTCAGGTGCACGCTAAACGTCGGTTTTCAATAAACAGTTGAATTCCAACACAAAGTCTTCGGCCACGTCACGACCCTGTGACATCTGGTGGAGGTGCTGCTTCGTTCATGTACCGGACGCCCCTGTCAAGCCGTGTACCAAACACCTCCGCCAGATGTACGGGGTTGTGACGTGGCCGAAGACAGGAGACTTTATGGTGGGATTCAACAGTTTATTTGTGCAAACCTGTGCCCGGTAAACGGAAAGTCTGATTACAGTAGTAGTCTTGCACAGATAGCAGTGAAGGGAACATCGGCCATCGATCAACTGACAAGGGACGAAGCCTGTCGGCATTTATACACTTGCCATAGAACATTCTAGGGTTATCGCTAGCGGTGACGTTGTTTCCAGAATAATCTGAAAGATTCATGAAGTGGGCGTAAGCTTATAATGATCAGCCTCGAAGCTTCTCAAACAATGTAGGCGTGGTTTGCGCTGAACATAGTGCAACATGGTGGTAACAAAACTTGAATAAAGGTACGTGACAATATTGTCTGAATGCAGCGTTTCATCTACTTGGAGATAAACGACATTTTGCACTGTTGTTGGCTGTGAATTTGCGACACCGTTGCTTAACAACTAAGTTACGAGGTTTAATTGTGCTTGAGATAAACTTTTATTGAATGGCCCTGCCCCCACTACATAGCTGTCTAGTAAATTTGGATACTTGGGTAATTCAGTTACCCCTAAAAAGAACAGAAAAATGGAACGACACGAAGGTGAATAAATTTGAGTAACCGTACGCAATTTCAGCAATAGGCAAAATTTATACAGACACACCTAGATTATTAGTCCTTAGGTTCGCTTAAAAAAGCCAGATTGCCAAATATAATCCAGACGGTATGCCTCATGTATGTTATATAATTGCAGGCATAACGTTATCGTTTTACTTACAATATTTTTAGCACTTGTGTAGTGTTCTGGTAGACAAATAGAAGGAGGCGGCACATATTTGCTTAAAAAAAACAATCTTTTGCCCAACGAAATAACCGAACCTGCGTTACATCACTGTAATGCAGACAATCACTCTAAGAAAGCTGTGAGCTGATCTGTTACATTTTCATAGGAGCAATAACAAGCGCGCTAGAGTGCTCTAAATCACATAGTTTTTCTGAATAAAGTCATAACTCTTACGTTTATTCACACGAAATTGTTTTATGCCAGCGCCAACAAAGACTTCACTTTCTTATTTTTTTTTTGCACATACTACGTTGTACGATTCACGCTACCAACAGTGGAAATAATAAATCACAGCTTCGCCGCAAAAACGAAGGAACGACCACGATAGCAAAAACTTGGAAGGTCACGTAAAAAATGGCAAGCAGATTGAAACGTGCCGCGCGTTTCTAACACACAAATGACGCACAAAAGGTAATCACAAGTACACTGCAGATGAACGCTGTTATAACCGGCCCCGCTGCTGGCCCGCGCACCGAAATGCACGAACAGAGTGGCAAGGGCAAAAAGCGAGCGTTTATTGTCCAGCTTGGGTTTTTATAAAAACGAAAGGTAAGGGAAGGGGAAGAGGGAGATAAGATAGAAGGTGCCTGCAGCGTAGACTGGCAGCGCTTGTTTAGCGGTGGCCAACAGTTCGTGGCATTCCTTCTTCCTTAGAATCTATAACGCTCCACTGGCTTCTTGATACGTGTGGAACGTCTTAGCTCTGGGGGCGGGTGGCCCGGAAGACCGGGGCCAGTAGCCGTTGGAGCTTCGCAGTCTTGTACTGGAGGGTCCGGGCTTATCTGGGGGCTAGTGAGAGCCTCTAGACTCGACGGTTCTTCGATGCTTCTCCACCTGAGCTGGTCTATGTGCCGGTGAACAAGTCCATTCTCCGTGTCGACAGGCAAGATGCGTGCACCAGAGGTTGACCGGACCTTCCCAGGTGTCCACTTGTCACTACGGCCGTAATTGCGAAGGTACACAGGATCTCCCGGTGCGAAGTTCCACCCGGCGCTGTCAGCAGGGTGGACATGCCCTGTTGCTCGGCTCCTGGGAGGAAAACACATGTCTAATCGGGTGCGGAGCAGGTAACCCAACAACATTTCTGATCTTGTGCGCCCGGACGTAAGCAGCGTGTTTCTATAGCGGCACAGTGTTCTAGCCAGCGTCTTTGACAAGTCTGCGTCCCCCCACTTCTTTAGTCCGTCTTTGATGGGTTGTACCGCACGTTCAGCGAGTCCATTACTCTGTGGATGGTAGGGGGGTGCCCGCACGTGAACTACTCTGTTCTGTTGCAAGGACTCGTTGAACTCCCATCCGGTGAATGGCGTGCCATTATCAGACACTACTGTGTGTGGCAGACCAAATGTACTGAACAGCGTTCGCAGGGCATTGACTGTGTTGCGCGAGGTCGTGTGAGCCAGGCGAATGGCCTCAATCCATTTACTGTGAGAGTCCACAACGACAAAAAGCATCTTGTTTTGGATCGGACCCGCGAAGTCGACATGCAGTCGCGACCATCTTTCCTGCGTCTCTGGCCAGCGAATGGGTGCTCGCGCGGGTGGCATGGGCAACGCCTGTACACAGTGCTGACACAGCGGCTAAGCGCTCAATATCGTGGTCTAAGCCAGGCCACCAAAATTTTGACCGTGCGACTGCCTTCATTGCAGACACTCCTTGATGAGCTCCATGTTATAACTTCAGTAGCTTCTTCCTGGCTTCCGCGGGAACCACAACACGATGACCCCAGTGAAGCAAGTTATGCTGCACGGACAGCTCGTTCCGCCTTTTGTGATACTCCCGCATCTCTGTGCCTTCCTCCGCAGTGCGTTGTGGCCAACCTTGGATGACGTACCTGCACACACTTGACAGTACGCCGTCTGACTGCGTGAGGGCTTGAAGCTCTTTCATGGGCACCGCCGGCTCGTCCCACTGGTCCACGACGAGGACGTACTCGGCCGCATCCTCGTCGTCCGGCAGCTCCTGTTCAAGAGATTGGGGTAACCGGCTTAATGCACCCATCCGCGTTGAGCATACATTTTCCCGGCTTGTACTGCCGTTTATACTTGTATGCACCACGTAGTAGCGCCCATCTTTGTATTCTGGCTGCCGCCATGACGGGGGTCTGATGGTCGTGCCTTACAGGCCCAGCAACGGCTGGTGATCCGCAACCAGAGTGAACTTTCGCCCCAAAAGGTAGTCCCTAAACCTAGTAACACCAAATATCAAGGCTAATGCCTCGCGCTCGATCTGAGAGTACTTTCTTTTGACAGTTGTCAGCGTACTTTCTTTTGACAGTTGTCAGCGTACTTTCTTTTGGCAGTTGTCAGCGTTCTCGATCGAAAGCCTACGGGTCGCTTCTCTCCTTCGGTGGATTGAAAAAGTGCAGCACCAACTCCGTATGGGGACGCATCACACTCCAGGAAGAGCTCACGGTTCTGTTATCATGCCCAGAAATGAGCGTAGCTCGCAGACGTTCTGTGGAGAGGAGGGCTAGCCTGATAGCATCCACGTTCTTTTCCATGAGATGCAGTCCGTTCGCGTCAATACGGTGACCTAGATATGTAACAGAAGACTCGCTAACGCGGCACTTATCAGCACGAAGCTTAATGCCATGTTCACGGAAGCGCTCAAGGACAGCCATCAGATTGCGGTTTTGGCTGTCACCCTCTTCCGCTATCAACAAACACGTCATCTAGGTATGCTTGCACCCCCAGGCAAGCCCTGTAGGATTGATTCAATCCGCCTTTGAAATATCGCCGGTGCCGAAACAATCCTAAACGGGAGGCGGTTGAAGCAAAAGAGGCCCTTGTGGGTGTTTATCACGGCCAATTTGCAAGACTCTTCGTCTAGCGGGATCTGGTTGTAGGCGTCGCGCAAATCCAAAATGCTGAACCGCTCCCCCCCCCCCCTCACCTAATTGCGCAAAAATATCCTCGATAAGAGGCAGCGGGTGTTGTTCCAACTCGCACACTAAGTTCAAAGTAATCTTGAAGCCACCGCAAATGCGAACTGTGCCGTTTTTCTATAAGACTGGAACAATGGGCGTAGCCCATTCCGAGTGCGTCACTGGTGATATAATGCCAGCTGCCACGAGTCGATCTAATGCCTCTGAAACTTTATCCAACAGAGCGTAGGGTACCTTTCTTGCCTTGAAGAACTTTGGCGTCACTCCAGGCTTGATGTGAAGGCGCACCGGCGGGCCTTTCATGAGCCCTACGCCCTCCGTGCACAGGTCGGAATAGCGGTCCAACACAGCAGGCGCGGGCGGAGACTCCAGGCTCGACCCGAGTGGCGGCGCAGCTACGTGGAGTACTGCTGCGCCCTGCTCTTGTAGTTTCTGCAGCAAATCACGACCGCACAGGAGAGGACCTTCGCAGTCCAAGATGATTAGGTTACAATCAACCTCCGCCGATTTGTGGCATACACGCATTGACAGTACTCCGAGTACGGGTAGCTTTCCCCAAATAGCACGCCAGCTTTATCTTCGGCTCCTGCAACTTCGGCCATTGATGACGGTGGGCTTTGTAGGTTGCTCTAGGAATGACGCATACGGGCAACCCGGTATGAACGTCCATCTTCAGCTATACGCCGTTCCACGTGAACGTTTCCTGAATCGGTGGCACCAATGAATTCTTTGAAGTTACGGACCAAAGTTGCGACGCGCTGCTATCACTGTCGTTGGCTTGGGCTGTTGAATTCAATGCGTTGTCGATCCTTTGGCACATGCGTGCCAAGTGCCCTTGTTTTCCACATTTGTAACAGTGCCTCCCACGCATTGAACAGGTCGTGCGCTTATGATTACGCTTTCCGCAGCACTCGCATGGCTTTCCGCCTTCGTTTTTCTTCTGGCCTTGCGGCACCCAGCGTTGCTCCTTCATTGCCGACACTGTTACCGGGGGCGTTTCTCGATTTATGTTCTCCGCATCTAACTCTGCACTTTCTGCCGCTAACGCAAGTGCCCCTGTTTCTTGTAACGTCCACTCAGGTTTCGCGAGCAGCTGCTTTTGCAAATTTCTTGAACGTACCCCGCACACGATACGGTTCCTTAACATCCTATCCAGCATGGACGAGAAGTTGCAGTTATGCGCTAAGCGCCGTATTTCCACAATGAATGCGTGAACAGACTCTCATTCATGCTGGTTTCGGTGGAAAAACTTGAAGCTTTCTGAAATTTCGTTTGGTCGTGGGTCATAATACTCGCTTAGAACTTTCACTACCGCATCGTAGCTGAGTGCGTTTGGCTTCTGCGGTGCCACTCTACCGCATAGCACATCAATCGTTCGCGACTCAAGTGCGGCTACCAACAGGGCTCCTTTCCTGGCATCGTCAGTGACTTCGTTTGCTTCAAAATATGCCTCAACCTTCACGAGGTACGCTTGCCACTTATTTGTGTCGCCGTTGAATTCCGGGAGGCGGTGACTCATGCCTGTCAATGGGGTGGCTGCTTGCCCGCCTTCAGGAAGCAGCTGGGTCTCGTTCTTTGTTGAAGTACTCGTCGCCACTGTCATAACCGGCCCCGCGGCTAGGCCGCGCCCCGAAAAGCACGAACAGAGTGACCAGGGCAAAAAGCGAGCGTTTATTGTCCGGCTTGGGTTGATTGATTGATTGATATGTGGGGTTTAACGTCCCAAAACCACTATATGATTATGAGAGAAGCCGTAGTGGAGGGCTCCGGGAATTTAGACCACCTGGGGTTCTTTAACGTGCACCCAAATCTGAGCACACGGGCCTACAACATTTCCGCCTCCATCGGAAATGCAGCCGCCGCAGCCGGGATTCGAACCCGCGCCCTGCGGTTCCGCAGCCGAGTACCTTAGCCACTAGACCACCACGGCGGCGCTTGTCCGGCTTGAGTTTTTATAAGAACGAAAGGTAAGGGAAGGGGAAGAGGGAGATGAAATAGAAGGCGCGCGCAGCGTAGACTGGCAGCGCTTGTTTAGCGGTGGCCAATAGTTAGTGGCAAACGCAAATAACTTATGACAAACAGTAGAGAGCCTGCAAAACGTGGATAGGCGCTGGATACCTAGCTGTGTATCAAGAAGCATTCTCGGGGGCAATGTATACTCGGGCGCATACTGTCAAGCGCATTTCGACAATGTGGCAGGGATAATGGCACAAAATCAGTTTCACCGAAATGGAGAATCAATGAGTGTGATAGCAACAAATTGCAATATAATACGTAGTGAGGCTGGCAGTCAACTAATTAGGATCCGATCTCGCTTACCTCTATAAAACGCTGGTGTAAGATAACACGGCCGCTCCAGGTACACTTCTGGCATTGTCGCGTTGAGAGCGCAGCCCGTAGAAGCTGCCGCCTACTGTGGGGGCACAAGGCGCGTGCTGATTGTTGCCACGATATCGTGGCGGTCTTAAGTGCCAACCACTGGCACGTGTATGCACGCGCCTACGCGTCAAAAGCGTCTAGTCGCGCCTGTGGAGGAAAAGGGCGCGCAACTACTGGCACGCGTCGACCGCGTTGACGCCCACGCGTCCAAGGCCGATGCACAGTGTTGCTTGATCTTTTGGCTTAGAACTGTCCAAGTTCAGCACAGAACGGCACGTTCTCAACGGGAGCGGGAATGTATGTTTTAGAGGATATGAGTACACGTTAACAACTTGATAGTGCTTCAACCACCACAGTTTAGGCTATTTTCGAAGTAACTGACATTTCAGTGCCTAAAGTAACTACAGCGGTATGCACCAGAAATCAACATCGGTGCCTGCACCGCTCCCGCGAATGAACATTCGCGTCTAGCATACTGTACGTCTATCACAGGCGTGTGCAGGGTTCTCCTTAAGGAAGGGGGGGGGCAAAAGTTTGTCCCAGTAACCCTCCCCAGGGCTAACTTAGCACCCCCTCCCTATTATGTTAATATATGGAGTTGACACTGAGCTCTCCCCCCCCCCGTCCTCTCTGCGGTGAATGAGGCGTGGCTACCCTCCTGATCACGTTTACAAACCACCGGGTTTCTATACCTGCACTACCAAAGTTACTAACAATATCTTGCATATGCTGGTACCTTCAGTATATTTACACAACATATTTTATATCAGTCAACTTAATAATCACGCCTGCTACTTCATGATCTGACAGATTTAAGTCAGTCATAAGACTACAATTGAGGCCAGAGTAGCAGGCTTTCGGCTGATGTGTGTCTTCGAAATATCCTCTAATGCAACAAAGCACACCTGGTTCTTAATGATACAACTGATATTGGCCTTAGGATAGGAACCAAATACTGTGTAGAATGCCTTCGGGCATTTTTCATAGTCGAAATGTGCTCTAATGCAACTAACTGTGCCTGACACTTCATGATGTGACAGATATCGGTCATGATATTGCAACTGACCCCTGTATGGAAGACTTCTGGGCGTTGTCTTTAGTCAAAGTATTCTCTAAAACGACAAATGACACCCAACTGTTCATGAAGTCACACATATCGGTCATATTATTGGAACTGAACCCTGTATGGAAGACTCCTGGACGTTGTCTTTAGTCAAAGTATTCTCTAAAACGACACCCAACTGTTCTTGAAGTCACAGATATCGGTCACAATAGTAGAAC